CGTAGTATAGCTATTATAGTAGAGTCTTAAGCCTGTTATTCTATTAATCTATAGACCTGTTATATTAGCCTTTCTACTATATTAGGTTGCACCTAGTTATTCTAAACATCTAGCGCGTCTATCTCTTATTACTATTATAGTATGTTTAGAAGAAGATACTAAAATATTATAGACTAGCCTTAAGGGAAGAATGCAATAAGCGTTAATAATAGTATTTAGTATCTTAAAGGAGAGATAAGCCCTCCACGCCTTTTTATAGGTGTCTAGTGTGTTCGCTTAGTAGTGGTGTTAGACTTAGTCCGTCTTGTATTAGACCTAGGCTTAGGCATAAGCCCAAGCCCTTCACATATATAGCTATTAAGAGATTACTAAAGTTATAAAAGCTTCTATTTATTATCTTAGTATAAACCTCCTAACTATATAAGAAGCTATATAAAATTTATAAAGAACTCTATAAAAGGCTAATTTTAGCCCTAATATAAGTGTTCTAACGTAACTTAGGCGCGCTCCTGCCTATAATAGTTACTATAATAGAATACTAGGTAGTTAAGAAACCTACTTATATCCTAACGCTTACGTGTACTATCCTTAAAGTATAGTGCTATAGCGCGCTAGACTATAGGTAATAACTAGGACTAAATATATATAAACCTTGCCTCCTTATCCCTAATAAAGACCTTGTCTGCACGTAGTTTAAACTCTATAGTTATTTACTAGGAAGAGAAGTTTACCTTAGTACTATTATATAGTAAGCTAACTAGGAAGGGTTTGTAATATAAGGTAGTAGAGGGTAGAGGCAGTATATTATTAAACCTAGTAGGCTTAGAGGAAGGTTAGGATAGAATCTAATTGCGTATTTCCTTATTCTATTAACGTAGTATAGCTATTATAGCAGAGTCTTAAGCCTATTATTCTATTAATCTATAGACCTATTATATTAGCCTTTCTACTATATTAGGTTACACCTAATTATTCTAAATATCTAGCGCGTCTATCTCTTATTACTATTATAGTATATTTAGAAGAAGAGACTAAAATATTATAGACTAGCCTTAAGGGAGAATATAATAAGCGTTAATAATAGTATTTAGTATCTTAAAGGAGAGGTAAGCCCTCCACGCCTTTTTATAGGTGTCTAGTGTGTTTGCTTAGTAGTGGTGTTAGACTCAGTCTGTCTTGTGTTAGACCTAGGCTTGGGCATAAGCCTAAGCCCTTCACACTAGGATTTACTAGATTCTACTAGCAATTTGTAGAAAACTTCTCTAAGATAGCTAAGCCCTTAACTACTCTCTAGAGCCCTGCTACCCTATTTATATAGACTTTAGAATACTAATAAGCCTTTAACTAGCTTAGGAATGCCCTGACTAGTAATCCTAAGCTTAGCTTACTTCTATCCTAAGTACCCTCTAAAACTAGAGATAGACGCCTCTAATAGAGTTATTACAGCTATCCTCTTATAGGAGCATCCTAATAGGAAATAGTACCCTATATCCTTCTTTAGTTAGACCCTTACTAGTTCTAAACTTAACTAGGAAATCTATAATAAAGAATTATTTATAATAATCTACGCCTTTAAGAAATAGCGTGCTAACCTAATAAGTACTTAGCACCTTATTAGAGTATACATAGACTATAGAGCACTAGAGTACTTTATATCTACTAAAGTCCTTAGTGCTAGGCAAGCTAGATAGCTAGAGGTTATAAGTCCCTTTAACTTCTAAATTAAGTATACTCCTAGATCTTATAACGCCTAAGCTAATATCCTAAGTAGAAGGGAATAGGATATAATTAACCTTAAGACTACTTAAAGGGATAATTATTTATAAGTAATAATCACCCTAGATAGGTTATACCCCTAAATTAACTTTAACTTAGCGTAAGACTACCTAGCTAAGCGTTCCTTACTAATCCTTACTTTAATTATAGTAGTTTAGAACCCTATAACTCTTAGATCCCTAGAACTTATTAAAACTCTTCTCTAAGAAAATAGGTCCTTATTCCTAATAGAAAGATTAGAGTTGCCTAAGCACTATTAGATAGAAAATAGACTCCTTCTCTACTAGTATTAACTTTGCGTGCCTGCTAGATTAGTCCTATATACTAGACTAATTTATAAGGCTTATAATTAAGTATCTACTACCTACCTATTAGCTACTAAAACCTATTAGATTCTAGCCTAATATTACTACTAGAAAGGTATAGAGACTACCTATAAACGCTATATTTAGAACTGTATCCTATATAGAAGAGGGCACCTAAGATAGTACTAACTCCCTAGCATACTCTACCCCCTTCCTATCCCTAGTCTACTAATGCAACACCTATGCATTAATTTTAAGGATTTTCCCTAGGATTAATATAGTTATAATTAGATTATAGTTATTATTAATTGCCTATTAAAGCAAGCTATTACTATCCCTTGCTATAAAACTATAGACGCCTAAGGTATAGCTACCTTATTTGTTTAGTAGGTGTACTAATTTAGACATACTCTAGATACTATTATTTCTAATTAAGGCCCCTAGTTTATATCTAGTTTCTAGTCTAAGTTCTATTAGATTATAGGTACTAAAGTTAAGCTCTCTACTACCTACTATAAATAAACTAATAGATAAACTAAGATTATAAACAAGTATATTAATTAGAGACTAAGGCCTTTTATATCCTATTACTAAGATAACTAGAGCAACCTACTACCTATAATAGACTGTGCCTAAAGTACTCTTCTATATTTATCTATTAGCATAGCTCTGTATTAGCTCCTCTTTAGTTCTGTAACAATAGGGCAGAATTGCCTGCCCATTGTTCTATGCCAAGTTAGGCCCAATAAAGGCCCGACTTACTGATGTATATAGAGAACAGCTCGCCTATAGTTAGGATAGGCATGTTCTTCTTATCCTTTTGTACAAGACCTATAGGTGTAGGAATCTTATCCTTTTCTATATAGACGCGCACTCCTATATGCCTTTAAGTTGTATAGGATACCTTTTAGATGCCCTACCTACCTAAGTTGTTACAAGTATAGTGCTTTATTAACTACTATAATATTAATTTTATCTCTTATTAAGCTACTAGGCTTAATTATAACTACTTTAAAGCTAATTCTACCTTTAAGTATAGCTTATACTTTAAGCTTTTATACTAAAAAATAAAGTAATATAATATTAAGAGTTAGTATATTTATAATATAGATAAGAAGGGTTTTCTTATTAGAGTACTATTAAAAACTAAATATATATTTAATAAGAGCGCCTATAAGTAGAGAAAGATTAGAGCTATACTCTAGGATATTAATAGGGAGTAGATTACTACTATAGCTTATATATACGCTAATAGTACTACTCTTACCCCTACTCTTATTTATTAGTTCTAATCTAGAGCTCTATAGGATACCTAGTTATAAGATTTTAACCTATTATAATACTAAGCTTTCTTTATAGGATTACTAAGTAGGTAGATAAGCTATACCCTAGGGGTATCCTAGCTTAAGGAGGTGTTTAATTATAAGATAAAAGCTAAAGCTTATACTTTATACTAGCTCCTTATCCTTAATAGCTATAGATCTTATATAATAATAGAGTTTATTAAGTACTATAATAAATATAAGATTCTATTTATAATATATCCCTTTTATAGTACTTATACCCTTTAGCTATTTAATATTATAGTATTTACTCCCTTTATAGCTTTATATAAAGCTTAACTATCTAGTTTTCTAGATAGCTTCTAAGGGCTTATAAGTATTACTAAGAGAGATTTCTACTAGTTATTTAATACTATATAGAGTAATACCTTTAAGGAAAAGCTAATATTAATAGCTTTTAAAGTAATAGGTATTTTACTACTTAACCCTAATATTATCCTTTTAAGGTTTAAAGCACCTATAAATAATAGTAACTAACCTTCTTTAAGTAATAGTATAACCTTAATATTAAGTATAAGTAATTAGAAAAAGATAGTATAGTTACTCTATAATACTATAATTAATATCTATAATAAATAGTTAAAGAAGCTTAGCTAGATAATCTATACTATATTAGTAAGAAATACTCTACTTAACTATAAAAATAAACACCTAAGGGCTACCCTAGCTAATAAGAAGAAGTGTAGGAAGCGTAGTAAACCTCTATTAGTACCCCCTAATAATAATTATAGTAGTAGTGCCTAATTTATTTTACTATTAAAGGTAGAGTAAGTATTTAAGCTCTAGAAGTAAAAGAACCTTAAAGAATAAGAGCTATAATACTAAAAAAGTAAGGTAATTAAGCTTTATAAGTAATAGAAGCTTACTAAAGCTTAACTTATAAAGAAGTATTACCTAAATTAAGTAATTACTAAGAAGGAGTAGAAGGAGAAAGCTACCTAAAAAGCTACTATATATAATAAGTAGAAAACTACTAAATAACTAGAAAAGTAACTCTAAAATAATATTAAAATATCCTAAATAAGTAAGAGGTAAATCCTTAAGCCTCCTACTATTATACTAGCTAAGGTAGTTAATAAGGAGCTAGTAGAAGAGGATATAGTAGTAGAGGCAACTTTATAGCATAGGCGCCTAATTAGACCCCCTAAAAAGCTACTTATATAATCTAAAATATTTAATCTACTCTAATAGATTTAATAATTATAACTCTAAGAAATCTTATAATAATAGCTATTATAGGTGGCGCAATATCCTTATTTAGTGGGTGGTGGATTTTGGTGTTGGTGGGCGCTCGGTGGGGGTGGGCGCTCGGTGGTGGATCACGTTAAGAGAATTGTCACTCTCTGCATGCACGTGAACCCGGGGGGGGGCCGTACGACAGAAGACGACGTATCCAGTATAGGACTCACTTTAATCTGCTTCACAGACCGGGTTCAAAGGAATCTTTCTACATCAAGTCTGAATAAAATCCTTGATCTTGGTCTCGCTCTTCGGTGTTGCCCCAGGTGAGAGCGACCATCCAAAGTGCTAACTTGGTTCATCCTAGCAGACCGATTACGGGAACTAAGTCATCCAAATGGCACTTGAGGGATGGACTGAACCTAGTGATGACAACATTGGCCGCTTGATCGTGAATGAACGGTCCATCACAAACATTGCCCATAATGATCCAGGCAGCCAAGATAGTCGAGCAGAGAAGTCATCTCGTACCTGGTGAGAGCTCACTCCTCACTCATCTAACTTAGCCCGGTGATTGAATGGTATCCAGGCAAACTCCGGGTCACAGAGCACTTCTTCCAGGTGCCCCGTGACTACTCCAACCCTTCCTCCGGTACCATACAGCTATTCGCCCGCTCTGCTCTCAAAGCAGAGAAACCAGCAGATTACACGGCAACGTCACACATTGACCCGAAAAAGACGCAATTACCATGGCTCGTCTATCTCCAAGGTGGTCCCGGCTTCGAGTGCCGACCTCCCCAGCAGATGCCCTTTACTCAGGCCATCCTCGACAAAGGCTACCAGATCCTCATGCTTGACCAACGCGGTACTGGCCTGTCAACCGCAATCAGCCAGTCGAGTCTGCAGCTGCGTGGCGACGAGAAGGTGCAAGCAGAGTACATGAAGAGTTTCCGCGCAGACAGCATCGTCAAGGACTGTGAAGCCATACGCAAAGCGCTCACGGCAGACTATCCCGAGGATAAGAAGCAATGGAGTATCATGGGCCAGTCATTTGGTGGCTTCTGCTGCACCACCTATCTCTCCTTCCACCCAGAAGGTGTCAAAGAAGCGTTTTTGTTCGGTGGCCTGCCGCCGTTGCGCACCCAACCAGATGAAGTGTACACGCGCGTGTATGAACGCGTCAAGCAGCGAAACGAAGCCTACTACGCAAAGTATCCCGAGGACGTGGATCGCGTCAAGCGCATCATAAAGCTGCTTTCACGATTCGGAGATACCACTGTTCGCGCCCAGGGCGGCGAAGGTTACCTGTCTGCTCGCCGATTTCTGCAACTCGGCATATACTTTGGCAAGCACGAAGGCTTCGAAGATGTGCATGCCCTCGTTCTCAGAGCCGATACCGACCTTACTCAGTTTGGCCATCTAACGCGACCGTCGGTGCTCGCGCTGGAGGCTGCGCAAAGCTTTGATTCAAACGTCATCTATGCCCTGCTACATGAGCCGATTTACTGTCAGGGCGAATCTTCCAATTGGTCTGCAGAGCGTATGCTCGAAAAATTTCCCGAATTCTCCTTGGAGAATGTCGATAGCGACAAGCCGGTTTACTTCACGGGCGAGACGATTCACCCATTCATGTTCGACACCTATGCGGAGCTCATCAAGCTGAAGACTGTGGGGGAGATGCTAGCTGCGGAGAAGAATTGGCCGAAACTGTATGACCAGGAGCAGCTGAAGAAGAACAAGGTACCGACATACGCAGCGGTGTACTTGAACGACATGTATGTTGATTACGACTTGAGTATGGAGACGGCAAGGGCCATCAAGGGATGCAAGCCTTTTGTGACAAACTCGATGTACCACAACGCCATTGGCGCAAAGACGGACGATGTATTGAAGGAGGTATTTGCTCGGAGGGACGATGTCATCGACTAAACGCTTGCATATTCTTGAAAATACAGCATACCACAGCATAGCATAAAATACGAAGGCTTTATATCCTTGGCTTCTCCTCCGCATGGAATATCTTTTGCGCCTGTGCCAGTTGCTCTTGGAGGTCTACATGCCAGATCCACTGCATCCTGGTTAGGAAATTATCCTGGATCTTGTCCAAGTCATCTCCCAGTAGCTCAAAGTCATACAGCTTCCCAGCTTCCAAGCTCGTTACCACATTTTTCTGTGACCGTTCTCTTCTCACCGCATCGAATGCCTTGAATGCTCGCTCCACATCTTCAATTGTGTCCGCCTCTTTGATAAGACTTGACAAGATGTACGAATCTTCTATACACATGCCAGCACCGGCACCCTGATGTGGTGTGGTTGCATGTGCTGCGTCGCCTGATAGACATACTCTGCCCTTGGTGTAGGTTTTGCATGGTAGGTGCATGAAAAGTGCCCATATATCTGGCTTCTCCATGGCTCCAATGATCTTCTGTACGTGAGGACCCCATCCAGCAAAGTCGGCTTCCATGACTTCTTTGGACGTAGAGACTACCCATTTATCGTCTTCCCAGGTGTCGCGCGAATTGAAAGCGACAACTACGTTGGTTAGTTTACAGCAGGAATCGCACCATAGAGGATATAGTACTTGCCATTCATCGTCTTTCCGTGCTCCACAGGAAAGGTCAAGAGATGCCCGTGATAGCCTAGGAAGATTTGACTATTCTGTGCGACCTCATCGCCAAGAAGCTCAGAAGCTTTTTCCATTGGTATCAAGCCACGGTATGCATATTTGCCAGAAAAGATGGCCTTGGAAACCGGATCATCCTCTCCCAACATCCATTTTCTCGCAAACGATTTTATTCCATCACATGCAATCACGGCGTTGTGCTGAGCAGTCGTTCCATCCGTGAACTGCAGCACGATATCGCCGGATCCGTCTTTGGCTTCATCCATGCCGGTCAGTCTCTTGTCGAACTTGGCGATGCCTTGTGGGATTTCCTTGATCAATTCGTCCAAGAAATGGGCTCTGTACACGCCACCTCGCCCCTCTGTCGTATTGAAGGGCACATTGAAGAGCGCCTCTCCCACTTTGACGTCCTTTTTGACGTAGCCATTCGCATCTGCTTTCCGCGCATCGCCGACCCGAATGGTGAACCACGAGTCTTTACTGGACTTGTTCCCCGTCTTGCACTTGAGGAATGCGCTGTAGATTTTGGAAGACATGAGCTCCATTGCGCGACCAGCATTAGGCCCCAAGGCGACGCCTGCGCCGATCTCGCCAAAGTGGGGTGCAGCCTCATAGATTGTAATGGGTATGTTGTGTTGGAGGAGGGCAATGGCAAGGGTGAGGCCTGATATGCCGCCACCCACAATGGCCAGATTGTATGGCTTGGATGAGGGCATGATGATGGGACCTAGGATGGAAAGGATGGAGGCGCGTATATGGCCAGGGAGGGTTTGTCAGGCTGTGTGGTGGTATCAGCCGGTCGTCCAAATATAAGAAGGACCGTACTCGGTACTTACTACCAGTCGCAGAGGGGTTTTTTTTGGCAGCAGACCTTAGCATAGCGTTAGCCGATGACCTTCTTCCAATGATGCACGGCAACGACGCGACATCAGTGAGTTTTTAGCCGACGTGAAGCTATTTTCGGCAGGGATGTCCAAGGTGGCCATGGGATGCATCATCCAGCCCGGGCGTGGCTGCGTGCGATCTCCAGATCGGAGGCCGTGTGGGGTAGCCAAGTAGAGTACAGGACGGTGACAGTATAGGTAGTGGTAGGACAGATGGTTGCTGCATCTTTGGTGTCTTTTGTGTGGGGGGTCAGCCACACAGCAACACGGTACAGGACAAGGACAAGGACAAGGACAAGGACAAGGACAAGGACAAGTACCGTAGGTAGGAGGCGGACGCTAGTCCCAGCCGGAGTAGCCACATCTGGTAGATCGAGCGCCAACCCACTGCAGCACACCAAATGGCTTGGGTGACGATGAACTTCAAGGTTGCATCATCGTCCAAAGTCGAGATCCCTCCATGATCACGAAGTGATACAGGTAGGACTCTGTTCTCTTTGCTCGTTCAACGGTGGTTCCATGGCCTACGACAGAGATGGCCATTGATCCTTCTCGCCGTTTGTTGTCTTTCTGCTCTGTGAGGTCATCGGCCCTATCATCCACTCTGACACGAAAAATATATAGCTGATTTGGGGTGCTGTATGCTTCAGCTAGCAGTCGGATAACCTCTCCGGTCCGCTCTCCTAGACATATCTTGATTCCCGATGCCACCCGCCCCATATGCCTCTAGGCAGCCTCCTAGCGAGGCAACCAAAAAGCCCGTCACAGTCCTAGTCACTGGCTTTGGAGTACGTCGACTCATCTCGAGCCCTTTTTTCTATCATAGTAACAGTGTGCCAGTCCTTTCTGGACAAGGTCCCTGACAACCCATCATGGGGGGTCGCCCTGAGCTTACCTGCTCTCATACCCGCATCAGCCGATAGCCCGACACCGATACATATTCATGTCCACCATGAGCCCGTCCGGGTTGCTTATCAGCATGTACTTGACCTCGTCCCAAAGCTTCTGCCCCCGAAGAACCCCATGTACCCGGCTCCAGACATCGTTTTGCACATTGGCTTAGCTGCTGGACGAAACCACTACGCTGCAGAAGAAGGCGCCTGGGGTAGAAACTATGGAAAGATCCCAGATGTAGATGGCGAACGCTTCTCTGACGACGACATGGAGACGTTGTTCCCTGCTAAGCAATTTCCACAGAGGCTATGCACCTCATTCGACACCTCCGACGTCCTTGCCCGATGGAAACTCAACCTCACAGACAGCAACAGCGCATCCACCCCCGACGTCCGCATCAGCCAGGATCCTGGCAATTTCCTCTGCGGCTTCATCTACTACAACTCACTAGCGCATTACTATTCTCTCAGCAAAGATAAAAGACCGGTTGTGTTCCTACATGTCCCAAATATAAGCCGCAGCGAAGATGAGATGAAGCAAGGTCTGCATGTCACCGTTGCGCTGATCAAAGCACTGGTACAGAGTTGGCAAGAGCTTGGTGTAGCTAGGGACGAAACGAATGGTCCCGTTTCGACTGAGCAAGTGCCTTTACAAGGCCAAATCGACAATAATTTCTCCACTTAAGAAGGCTACAGGACTAGTCAAGGGTAGAGAGAGTGGGTTGAACGAGCAACTACAGGGTGTAGCATGGTGATCTTAACGGGCTCCTTGTGAACACTAACCCTCTAATATGTTGCTATATATTCCTAGAAATCTTTGGTATATCTCGTGCTGGTCATATGTCTACCAGTACTATTATCTTTCATCTCATCTCTTGTCTATAAAATCTGTATCCCCATCTCATCTCATTGTAGGACGACCCTGAGGTGAAGACCGCTCATGACAGACTCACGCCACCTTATAACTACGACGATAACGCATCATTGCTTTGGTGTGCATTTATATAGCGGAAGTGAGCTATGTTATATAAATTAAAACTAGACCCAGGTGGCGGACAAGAAACGTGGACCAACTCCTCTGCTCGGGCCAGGTGACTGCGGTTCTGATTGACCCGAGAGTTGGAGTACGGGGTTCTCCATGTTTACCGTGCTTAGTTTCGCCTTTTTTTTTTGCCATATTATTCTTGCTGACTGCTCCATCGCGCCCAGTTCTCTACCTTGGTTAGGGATGTCGCTGGTTACATTATATACCTGTTTACTTGATGCCAATGACTCATAGCGATGACGCAAAGTGATGTTGGGGTCCATTCTGATGTTTTGAACCCCTCTCCGCGACTTTTAGCTACAGCCCTTCTTACTCGTGACAGCATCAAAGCTCCTTCAGGAAACACTTCAAGATCATAGTCCTATCAACACTAGCGCATCCGACACCATGGAGACAAGCATTTCATCATCAGTGCCAACAACTTCTGCGCTCCCGCAACCCATTATAACAACCAGCCGCCTCGTGATCCGAGCCCTCCATCCGCAAGACAATCACTCAATGAGCCTTAACGCGAATAACCCCCTCATCTCGAGATACATGTCCAATACCTTCCCAGACCCTTACACGCTGTCCGCCGCTGACGACTGGATCGCCATGAATGTTGCTAAATCCGTGCAAAATGATTTTGGGATTTGCGAAAAATCCTTCCCGGAGGCAATTATCGGTGGCATAGGGCTTAAGCCTGGCGCGGATGTGAATGCCCACACAGGGGAGATTGGATTCTGGGTCGGGCAGAACTACTGGGGAAATGGTTATGCGACTGAAGCACTAGAAGCTTTCACGCAATGGGCCTTTTTGAACGAGGAAGTCGAAAGGACGAGGAAGACGAAGTTGTACGGTGGTGTGTTTGGTGGAAATACCGCCAGTATGCGATGTTTTGACAAGTGTGGGTATACGAGAGAGGGAATATTGAGAGGTCATTGCGTGAAGAACAGAGAGACATTGGATTTGCACATCTTTGGTCTGCTCAAGGCAGACTGGGAAGTGAGGGTCAATAATGTGTTCAACAACTCCTGAAGCGTGGGAAAAGTTGATGGGTGTATTTCAGTCAAGGAGCAGGGCGGGCGACGTAGGCCTGAAGCTGCATGAGTGATATCTCGGCCGGGGCGTGGTGCTTAGATCTCGTTATAGCCACGCATTTTGCATCCCCGTACTTGCTGCCGTTTCCTTTGACCAATTCCTGGGCTTTTTTCTCGCCCAACAGATCCGTCAGACTATACAGGGCGACTTTTCTCCCCCGCCATATTGTTGTAGGGTTAGAAAGCTCTGGGAACTTCAGTCGTGGTTGCAATCGAGGGACGAGAGGCTCGGCATACCAATTCGGCGAATGGTGAGTGACGTCTGGAGAGGCATGTGGATCTATCTTAGCTGCGAAGTGCTTGAGAGTATACGTTGCCCACTTTTCGAGCTCTTGTTGGATCTGGATAAGCTTCTCGTGATATTCATCGGCACGAGTACGAAGCGATCCAAACAGCAGGACACAAGACACGTCGTCTACGTGCTCGATATCTTCTGCTCGTGGGCTTGCGACAGGAATCAAACGGTCTCTAATGATGAAAATGGAGCTCAGCTTCTTGGAGACCTTGTTACGCATGGCCTGCAGGATGAGATCAGGCATGTCTTCTCTCCAGATCATGTTCTTCAGATTAAGACCGCTCAGCTTCGCGACCATGCGAAGAGGAAGCACCTTCTCCCATGTCTTCTTTTTGCCCAATTGAGTAGCCACATGTCGATGGCCAACGAAATATAACGGTGGACCAAGGTGACTTTGTTCGCTTACGAGTGAGACTGGGAGTAGCCAGGGGTCATTGGTCTCGGGATGTGGCCGCGGATATACAGCCATCAGAAGGTCACTAGGGAGCAGGATGGTCGTGAGTCGACACTGGCGAACGGGTGATGCCAACACGCGCGCTGATGATTCTCAGTATCAATTCTCAGAACCCAGTTTGTGCAAAAAGCCTACCGAAAGGAATTTCACATAATTTCTTTTGGAAAGGCGTGAATTCAGCGTGCTTCGGCCGGTCCTTTGGTCGTTGCCATTTATGTCTATCCTCTAATGCGACTGGATCGAGTAAAGGGGGCAGAGGGAGCGCCTTAGCCTGCTCGTCTTTGCGTTCACGAAACGTTCGGTGGCCCTCTGTGCGAGTAGGTCCAAGGTCGTCACCTCTCAGTATGCGACCGGGAACAAAGGTCGACGACTGACGCCATTGTGCCGTCGGCGGCCAGTTACGTACGCGCAAACGTGGGTTCAGGCGACAAGTCCATCGGCCCAGCATCAGGTTGGAACAGAAAGGTCGTGTGAGGTGTGTTGGACAAAGTCGTGCAAGGCAAAATGGGTGAGCGGACCCCCGTCTTGGCGACGATACCGGTACCTAACGTACCTACAAGACGTTATCGCTCGGAGTTGTTCGAGCTCTCCGTGTACGAGACAGCCCACCACCAACATCACACAAACCATGGCAACAATATTACGGCGCGCTTTAAGGCCATCGGTGTTTCGATTGCCCTGCAGATATGGCCTGCGATCAATGTCTAGTCAATTCGGCTTCCAACCACAACGGAGTCCGCAGCAACAAGAACAGCAGTCCCCGCGCGCCATGTCGTTACCAATACCCTACGTGACGGAGACCACTGTTAGTTGGTTCAAGCCTGTATTTCTATACTCCTGCTGACTTTGCAGGGTGGAGGCTGGAAAACTTCCGATATCTTCTCGCGCCTCCTTCAAGAGCGCATCATATGCCTAAACGGTGAAGTCGACGACTTCATGTCCGCCAACTGCGTCGCACAACTCCTGTTCCTCGAAGCGGATAATCCCGAGAAACCGATATCCATGTACATCAACTCGCCTGGCGGTAGCGTGAGTGCAGGCCTGGCAATCTACGATACGATGAACTACATCCGCAGTCCAGTCAGCACGATATGTATGGGCATTGCGGCGTCAATGGGCTCGCTGTTGCTCGCTGGAGGTGCTGAGGGGCATCGGTATATATTACCGCATGCACGCGTCATGATTCACCAGCCGAGTGGTGGGTATCGAGGAAAAGCCAGTGACATTGCAGACCACGCAAAAGAAATATTGAGAATCAGAGACAAGCTGAATAAGATCTATCAGTCGCACGTTACAAAGAAGAGGACGCTAGAAGAGATTGAGAAGTACATGGAGCGCGACTACTTTATGGATGCACAAGAGGCGGTGGACTTTGGGATTGTTGATAAGATTCTGGAAAAGAGGGAGGCTCCATCGAAGGAGGGAGAAAAGAAGTGAATGTGGTGATTGGGAGTGTGTGATAGAGGGCCTAAAGATAGATGGGCAGGCTGGCACATTCTCGAGACTCGTAGCAATGCACGACTGGGGATGTTGTGAATGTCATGGACCGAAATGACGTGCTGCGCTCTCAAACTTCACATCATTCATGGGCTGGAGCTGTGTGTGCAATTGGATAGGGTTCGATCTGTTCGATTTGACATATTGGTTGCATAAAAAAAAAGCTGGGCAGTTCAGAGCACCAGGCCAGAGTCTTTCGAGTACCATACCCAGTGGGCAACTAAAAGATGCAAGACCACGCTCTCATCCTCTTCGTGCTTCAGTTTTGCATTTACAATCAAAATTACTTTGGAACACATCTACCATATAACCAACAGGTGAAGGCCTGGCGCCCGCATTCGCCTGGCTACACAGGCATACTATGTACCCCCACATGCTTACCTACACGTGAGGACGCGCCGCACTACTAGCGTACCGGTAAGTTAGGTCCCACCTGCCTCTTTCGAACCCCTGCTGTTTGCTGCAACTCTACCGGTATAGCAAACTGGCTGAACCACTTGACAGCTTCATTTTGCTTGTTTCGCGTGTTGTGGCGTGCGAGACGACCTTGGCAAACAATCGCTATGGATATCTTCATTGAGAATGTAAGTCCAGCAGCCTCAGGCTGGAAACATGCCTACCCGAGCCAAGACCTATCTGGGCAAGACCACAAGCGGAGCTCGGAATGCGTGAAGCTGTAACTCTATTGATGAGTCACGGGTGGGCTGGTTGCCAGCAATTTGAGGTAGCCAAAAGCTGCGCTGACAGTGTCCTACATAGGTCCCGAGCAACGCCAATCACATCGAGTTGCAGATATTCCTGAAAGACCGACTAGACAAGCTCGGTGTATTGGCTTTCGAAATCAAGAAGTTTCGCGGCAGACAGAATGGACGTCATTTTGCTATACTTACGGTTTCAGATACGAACAATGGCAATGCCTTTCTGCAACTTTATGGCAGCCGCGGCCGGACCACTCCACTCTATCCGTTGATGTTCCAGGGAGAGAGCCTCAGGTTTTCAAAAAGCAATCGTCCCGGTCAGCCTGAGCCTCTCAAAGTACGTACGCTGCAAGAAAAGGAGGAGTCGATGAGAGCGAAGATGAGAGCACCTGGCGACATAAAGCAACCCCTTCGATCAAACCAGCCTACATTGGCTTTCAACTCTTTACGCACCGGAGTCTGGGATCATGATCAGTGTGGACTTGCCTTCGACTCGAAGTTCAGGGACTTGAGGTCTGGATTTGTCACTTTTGGTAGTACGGCAATTGTGCTATACTTACAGCAAAACGCACAGAGCTTCTTCGATTGGCACGGGAGAATCGACATTCCCCATTCTATAATCGACTTTGCCATTCCATCGCACACAGATCTTGGCCGAACAGTAGTTACTTTGGCCCTTAAATCTCCACCAAAGTTCTACAACATCAGTTCTACGGACGATCTACATCTCTATGCCGGCACAGAGCCACCAATTACAGCTGATATTCTCTCTGGTTTTTCCAGGCTGAACCTGGGCACCACGAATAGAACCAATCGACTGGAGCGCCTGTGTTCCTTGAGTTCTCTCCATGATAAAAGCTCAGCCTTGTGCATGGTGTACAGTCTCGACTTTCCCGACATTCGAACAGCACAACATGCATACCAACACGTCAAAGATTTCTCCGTATCAGATACTTATTGCTGGAAGCGTATGACTGTCATTGAAGGAATGCTATGGATAGAACACGAATTCGCTATCGTCGAGAGGGAACTCGCTCGTTATGGCCCACAGATACCAACTGAGTTCAACTTCGCAGTCCGCTTTCAACTCACAGCTCTCCTGCTTGAGGGCTATATTAAACCAGTCAAACTTATTGGATTAATCCCCCACGTTCTTAATCTTGCCCGAATACATGGCGCAGAGCTTACCGCGTCTGCATTGCGACAATTGGCCCGATCGATTCCGATGCCATCACCGAGTAGGGACGCGAGCCAATTTACGATAGAGGCATTTGTAGCTCTCCTGAATGAGAGTATACAGGACAGTAAAGAACGCGAATTGACTGGTTATGATCTCAGCAGAAAGCAGCGGAAGCACAACCACTTGGCACTGACCTACAAAGCCACTATCACCCCAACGGGTAAGTCTCACAACCAAACCTTCACTTTTCAGTTTCCTTGAGAAGATCACCCTCTTAATTGATACATTTTCTCCAGGTATGCTGTTGCGGGGCCCTGACTGGGATGTCTCTAATCGAGTCCTCCGGAAATATGGAAAACATACCGAATGCTTCATGAGAGTATTCTTTGCAGATGAAGACGGCTTGTCGGTATTTTTCGACCCTAGAGCCTCTCAGGATCGGGTGTATGAGCGATTTAGAGGTGTGCTGCGAAATGGTATTACAGTAGCTGGTCGTCGCTTCGACTTCCTTGGATTCTCCCACGCCTCATTACGGAGCCATCAAGCATGGTTCATGACACCGTTCATCAAAGATGGGATCAGTATATGTGCCAGAGACATTATCGAAGACTTGGGTGACTTCTCTCACATCCGATGTAGTGCCAGATGCGCCGCGCGTATAGGACAAGCATTCTCAGATACTATCTTCTCAGTCCGAGTCCCAGACTCGGCTTACGTTACAGAATCCAAAGTAGATGTTAAGAGAAATGGCAGATATTTCTCCGATGGTAATTATTGCCTGTTGATGCTATCAGATTGACCGTTGCTAACATGAACTTAGGATGCGGTACAATTTCACTGGAACTTATGCGCAAAGTCTGGAACGCACTACCGCCAGAACGCCGGGAACAGAGGCCAACCGTATTACAGATACGCTATCGTGGTGCGAAGGGTGTCCTGTCGCTTGACACCTCTCTCGTGGGTGAACAGCTGCATGTTCGTCAGAGCATGACGAAGTACATTGCCAAAGAAGGGTGGAAAGACTTGGAACTCTGCGGTGCAGCTTACAAAGTCAGTAACTGCCGTTCTGCTCATCTTATGGGCCATGCTGATACTTTACAGCCACTTACGGTCTTCCTGAACCATCAGTTTATCAAGATCCTTGAAGATCTCGGTGTCCCAGAGAGAAACTTCAAGGCAATACAGAATGAGGCCGTTGACACACTGAAGCTTATTACCGAGCATCCTATCAACGCTGCTAGCTTCCTAGGTACGTTGGTATCTAACTCGTCATGCACAAAATGCCAGTCAATCACTCGATCCCTGTCGCTAACCTCTTTTTGCAGAATACTCGCATTCTAGTGTCTACGCTAGAACCCCCCGTCTATTTGAATTAATGCATCAGATTGGCCTGTCCTTCCACGCAGACCGATTTCTCACAGATATTGTTGAGGTAGCGGCGATGTCAAACCTGAGAAGCCTAAAGTATCGTGCTCGTATACCCATTTCACAGGGTTACCTTCTCTATGGTATCATGGATGAGACCGGAATTCTGAAGGAAGGGGAAGTATATGTTGCGACCAAGTCTCACGACGCCATTGGCCACAAAAGCAGAAAAATACTCATTGGTGACAGGGTCATTATCACTAGGGCACCCGCATTACACCCTGGAGACGTACAAATAGTGAAGGCAGTTGACGTACCGGAGTACTCGCCTCTTCGCGCACTCCACAACTGCGTCGTCTTTTCGCAACAAGGTGCTCGAGATCTGCCTTCCCAACTCAGTGGTGGTGACCTTGATGGTGATCTCTTCCACATCATCTACGACTCACGGTTAATTCCAGACTTTACTGTCCCTCCCGCAGACTACAAATCGGAACCTCCGAAGGACCTTGGTCGGCCAGTACAGGTCAATGATATGGTTGACTTCTTCGTTGAGTACATGAACATGGACCGACTGGGACAAATTTCAAACAAGCATAAAATAAGAGCGGACATTAAGCCAAATGGCACGCGAGACCCAGACTGTATTCTCCTTGCACAACTCGCGTCGGATGCCGTCGACTTCAGCAAATCCGGCAATCCCGCCGACATAAATAAGGTGCCTCGAGGTTCCGACTGGATTCGACCTGACTTCATGGCCCCCGGCTCCAACCTCGTTATCAATGAGCTGGGCTCAGCGGAACTAGAAGAGCTGGAACAAGACGATGTAGACGCCCCAGACCGCATAAGCGTTCTTGACGCCGACAAAGCACGCATGCGCTACTACCGAAGCGACAAGGTCCTCGGAGTCCTCTACCGCGACATTGACGAGCAAAAATTCTTTGCCAGGATGAAGCACGACTTTGAAAACTTCAGACACAGCTGGGGCGGCCAGTCGCTCATGTCCAAGCTCCGCACCTACATTGAGCGCGAGACCCGTGGCGTCCTCTGGGCCCACCACCGCGCCTTTGCCGAAGACCTGCGCGAATACTACGAGGACAACATGCTCGAAATCATGGACACGCTGCGTCCCACGCGCGGCAAACCCCTCACCGAACTCGAAGTTTTCAGCGGCAATATCCTCGGCAAAAAGGAACGCGCGCCCTCGAGACATATTCGCGAAGCCAATCTCGAGGTGCAAGAGCGGTTTAACCGCGATGTTAGTGCCATCATTCAGCGCCTTCTACGGGGCGATGGTGACTGGGAGGGTGGTGGTGGCGGCAACGACCACAACGACGAGGATACCGAGACCCTGCCACGGGCTATTGCCTGTTTCATGGTCGCGCTCGAGACGGACGGATGGGGCAATTATCGCAGTTTGAAGAGCTGGAAGTATGTGGCTGCTGCTGTTTGCTTGGAGCAGCTTTGGAAGTATCAGGGGGGCAAGTTGAGGCCGGTTTGAGAGTGGTACATGTTGGTTAGTTCAGTCATCGGTGGAGGATTTCCATGGTCTGTTTCTTCCTGATAGGAAAGAGATGGCATGGATGTTGGATGGCGGAATGGGTTTGTACATGCACGCAAATGTGCATACGATGACATGAATATATGACGGTCTGGATTTCGGTTGTGGGCATTATATCCAAATCTCTAAATCTTCTGATATCAGAAATGACCTCGAAATATGCCCATTGACGGGTATGCAATTCATACTTCAAGTAAGTTGCAGAATATTAAGTAGCAACACCAACCTTTTGGCAAGATGGTATTGCATTCGACTTTCCCGTTCGATATATACTCAACCACTGCATGCGCCTCCTAAACCTCCAAATGCTGTCCCGTCCAGCCTCAAACTCAACCCGCCCTCCAGCATCGCGCAGACCAGTGTTTGCAGCTTGCTCAGCGTGAGCCATCTAGTTTGGTAGCATGTTATTCCTTTGCGCCGTCGCACGAACCGTGAGTTGGACATTGTTGACTTCCTCGAGCAATTTGAAGCCAGCATTGAACCGATCAAAGATAGCGTGTACCTCATCAGAGCCCACTGGACGATGAGGTCGGCGATCGCCCAACTCGGTCTGGCAATGTGGGCAGAGATTTGAGTTTCGGCTGGGTACCATTCAACCAGGCGGAGAAGCAAGGCCGGCCAACGTCGTGCCTGCACCTGAAGATGAGGAGGGCTTGGTACTTCGCCTCGTCATATGGCTCGAGGCAGATGCAGCAGCGAGAAACATGGTCGCGGTCATCTCCATTGCTTTCGTTGATACAGATATTTATAGGCCGAGCGGAGGATCGAGAAACATTGGCACCGTACTCATCGACGTCATGGACTAGGCCTACCAGGAGCGGATGCTACCGAGCATGCGTGTGGATAATCTGCCATGTATGCGGATACTGGGTCGTGGAAGCTATGCAATGAGACTCGCAGATTCTGGGTAGCGACCGACCGACGATTATCCAAGTAAATGTAGAGGCAGCTCCAAGGATTGAAACCACCGTGGTGAACTGATAACAAATACAATGTTGGTTTTCACGTACTTGAGAATCAGCGGAAGACAGACCATGGAGATCAAGGACAATGGACAAGAACTACCGGACAAGAAAGAGGGTGGGTGATGCTGACGTGGATGGCTAACTAGGAGGTTAGTAGTGATCCATCGCATCACGCCGCTGATGAATGCTTGCCGTCATCATGACCCTTGAGCAAGTGCAAAGTCGAGAGCATGCATGCAATCGGCAGACATTCGGCCTGAAATGGATACAGGGCAGTTCCCTACAGGAATTCATCCCGTCATACGCTGGTCCTCGTCTCGGTCACCAGGCTCTGCCTGTGGGGTAGATTGGCCCAGTCCACTCAAAGACGCCTTCAAACTCGCAATACGCGCCTCCAAGTCCCTAATTTCGTCTTCTTGATCTTCGCATGTCCTGTCCATGTCTGGCAGCGAAAGGACAGCGCGTCGTGCCTTTTGTATTTTGAGCCTGAGATCGTTGGCGGCAGTAGCAACGTGCTGTGCATCAAGAGGACCGTCGTTGGAAGCTTGGGCTTGGGCTTGGGCTGGAGATGGAGTGGCACCCGGTGGCTGACTTGGTGTCTCGAGGAGCCTCTTGAGCAGTTTGTGCAGATCGGGGAGGACATCAAAGGTCGATGGTGGAGGCAGACGCCGAGGGGCTGCGGCTGGTGGTGGTGGTGGCAGCGCAGGTGTTGCCGAGCCCGTTGGGGGAAGTGATGCTCGCGCGGAAGCAGGCGCGTAGGGAGTTGCTGCCCCAGACATGATGGGCGACTGAAAGATTTCTATTGGTACTGTATGTACCTACAGAGTACTGGGTATGGATATGGGGTACACCGGTAATGTATGTATGCATGTATGTAGATGAAGATGATGGTCAGTCACTGTGATAGGAAATCGGAAATAGGAAGACGCGTTGTCGGCGGTCCTGTCCTGGCAGTGGCTCGGTTGTCGCGGTGGTCAGGGCGGACGGGATGACGTACCGTAGATAGCGTAGTGTGGCCGGTCGTAGTAACTCTACTATCCAAATGGTCTGTTAACGGTGTGAATCGCGAGAAGTGTAGTAGAGTCGGCGGTAGTGGTGGTGTGGTGTCTAGTCTACGGGAGGATTTATGTGGCTTTTGCCGGGCCTTCTCTTATGGATGCTTTTTTATTTTGGACGTTCGTACATTGTACCTACCTGGGTGTGTCAATTTGTGAACAGATAGCCCCGCCAGCCGAGACACTGCCCTGCCTGTCTGTTGCCCCTCCATGCATGACATAAGCTATGCTACTGAAACTCCAGTAGAGAGCCCTCCATCTATCTATCTTGGGCCCAAGAAAAATAAGTATCGAGTACAAAGACAGCTTCTCTACTCAACCCCAGCAAACAGACTTCGAGGAATTGACCCATCATGGCCAAAGTCGACCAGAAAGCCGTCCTCATCGTCATTGACGGATGGGGCGTTGCAACGGAGAAGTCGCGCAAAGATGGCGATGCTATCCTAGCGGCTGACACGCCCACCATGGACGAGTTCGCAAGACCGGGCTCCAAGACAGCACAGGGCTATACCGAGTTGGAAGCCTCGTCTCTCGCTGTCGGCCTCCCCGAGGGCTTAATGGGCAACAGTGAAGTCGGCCACCTGAACATTGGCGCTGGCCGGGTCGTCTGGCAGGACTCGGTCCGCATCGCCCAGACGATCAAGAATGGCAAGCTAAAGGATGTGGCTACCATCAAGAAGTCTTTCCAGCGCGCCATTGACGGAAATGGCAGACTCCATTTCTGTGGCCTGGTGTCGGATGGCGGTGTGCACTCCCACATGGACCATTTGATTGAGCTGCTGAAGGTAGCAAAGGCCCAGGGTGTGCCCAAGGCGTACATTCACTTCTTCGGCGACGGCCGCGACACCGACCCCAAGTCCGCTGTTGGATACATGGACACTCTGCTCAAAGCCACAAAGGACATTGGTCTTGGTGATATTGCTACCGTCGTCGGTCGTTACTACATCATGGACCGCGACAAGAGGTGGGACAGAGTCGAGATTGGCTTGAAGGGTATGGTGACGGGAGAGGGAGAAGAGAGCAGTGATCCGGTGGCTACGATCAAAGAGCGATACTCCAAGGATGAGAATGACGAGTTCTTGAAGCCCATAATCGTGGGAGGACAAGAGCGCAGAATTCAAGGTATGTCTTGGGCCAAACGCTGCGTCGCGCATGGCATGCGGCTCTGAGCACCTGCATGTCCCTTTACTGATTGGTGCAGACAATGACACCGTCTTCTTCTTCAACTACCGCTCCGACCGTGTTCGCGAGGTCACTCAGCTGCTGGGAGACGTCGACCGCTCGCCCAAGCCCGACTTCCCTTACCCCAAGAACATCGATATCACCACCATGACATCGTATAATCCCAAGTACACGTTCAATATTGCTTTTGAACCCCAGAGAATGAACGATGTGCTTGCGGAAACATTGGGTAAACAGGGTGTAAAACAGTGCCACGTTGCTGAGACGGAGAAGTACGCCCACGTCACCTTCTTCTTCAACGGAGGCGTAGAGAAGCAATTCGAGAATGAAGAGCGTGAGATGGTGCCCTCTCCCAAAGTGGCCACATACGATCTACAGCCTGCGATGAGTGCCATGGCCGTTGCGGACAAGCTCTGTGAAAGGATCCAGACTGGCAAGTTTGAGTTCCTGATGAACAACTTTGCCCCACCAGACATGGTGGGTCACACTGGTGTCTACAAGGCTGCTATTGAGGCCTGTACGGAGACCGACAGAGCTATCAAGAAGGTGTACGATCAATGCAAGGAGAGTGGATACGTGCTCTTTGTGACTGCCGACCACGGGTAAGTGCAGGCTCTAGATTGCTACGACTACACTAGACTGACCATGCATTAGAAACGCTGAAGAAATGCTCACCGAAGAGGGTACACCAAAGACATCACACACAACTAACAAAGTGCCATTTGTCATGGCCAACGCCCCTGATTCCTGGAGCCTGAAGAAGACTGATGGAGTGTTGGGTGACGTCGCGCCCACCATCCTTGCGACCATGGGTCTCCAACAACCCGAAGCCATGGACGGACACAGCTTACTCCAGAAAGCATGAGGAGCTCAGAATGCCGATAAGGATTTTGGCCTTGTTCTATATGTGGCTCCGGGAATTCCCGTCAGATCCAACAAGAACTCAAATACATGAATAGATCAGTCCTCATTATAGACTTCTTAGGGCAGACATGCTTTGGCCTTCACGGCGTGAAGATTCAAAGAGCCCAAAACGATCGCCGCCCCGCTTATGACAAGGTCTGCGGCCTGCCAATCATGAGTAACTTTGGCTTGGCGGAATCAAGGGTCATCCAACGGCCGTCAACGGCGGATCGACACATCCTTATTTTATTCTATGTGCTCTCCTACTGTTGCGACAATCTTTTCCACACTGTTATAACTACCCAGTTTGAGTTTACGTCTTGTAACGTCTTCAATCCGCCGTGAGCGATTCTGTTGGGCAATCTCGTGACGATCACCATCCATATACCTGCCCCACCAACGCCCATTGAGGGGCAGTGTCGCGTACATTCAACCCGCGACATCATTGCGAGCTCCGTAATTGATAGACTGCCATCCTTACCTGGCAAGACAACAACGGTGAATTGAAGCTCGTGATATACGACAAGGACTCCAGTGGACGCCCGCATTTTTGAATCCATCAGCTGGCTGTGACAACCTAGCTTGCTTGGCTGTCCTATTCAGCTCACGTCCACAAACGACAATTCAGCTACGATCCAACGTGGAAGATCTGCCCTGGTCAGCGTCTGCACCACCAGCGTGTATATATTTGTAGGCCTGCAATGGTCTCGAACGGCGGCTCAGGAGCGCAGACTCCGCAGACCCAAGCCCAAGTGCAGCCATGTCGGTATAAGACTGGCAAGACCTTGGGCGCAGGTAGCTATTCGGTAGTCAAGGAGTGCGTTCATATTGATACAGGAAGATATTATGCCGCCAAGGTTATCAACAAGAGACTTATGGCCGGCCGTGAACACATGGTAAGCCTCAAGCTAGGCTGCCCGCATACTTCGATAGAGCTGACGGACAAAAGGTTCGAAACGAGATTGCCGTACTGAAGAGGGTTTCCATGGGCCATAGAAACATATTGACGCTGGTGGACTACTTCGAGACTATGAACAACCGTAAGGGACACTCATTCACAGCTCACACGGTGTGGAGTGATTAATTGCAGTCTAGTCTATCTTGTCACCGACCTTGCGCTTGGAGGTGAACTATTCGATCGAATCTGTCGCAAGGGTAACTATTACGAGTCTGACGCCGGCGACCTCATCCGAGCCACGCTCTCGGCCGTCGCATACCTCCACGACCACGGCATCGTACATCGCGATTTGAAGCCAGAGAACCTTCTCTTTCGAACACCTGAAGATAACGCCGACCTTTTGATCGCCGACTTCGGATTATCACGTATCATGGACGAGGAACAATTCCACGTGCTGACAACGACATGTGGGACACCAGGCTATATGGCACCTGAGATCTTCAGGAAGACTGGTCACGGAAAGCCAGTGTAAGGCAACCCATCCTATGTCTATAGGGTGCTTCTGACTTTTCGTACAGTGATATTTGGGCCATCGGCGTGATAACCTACTTCCTGCTTTGCGGCTACACGCCCTTTGATCGCGACTCAAACCTTGAGGAGATGCAGGCCATCCTCGTGGCAGATTACTCCTTCACACCCCTCGAATATTGGCGGGGTGTCTCCCTCACAGCACGAGACTTTATTCGTCGCTGTTTGACCGTTGATCCGGCGGGACGCATGACCTCCCACGAAGCCCTTTCACATCCCTGGATCACCGATCTTGGCAAGAACCCCCCTGAGAGCGAGGAAGACCTGCTGCCTACTGTCAAGAAGAACTTCAATGCTCGACGTACGCTTCACGCCGCGATAGACACCATCAGGGCTATCAACCAACTTCGAGCTGGAGGTGCCGCAGGCATGATGGATGGTAGACAATCAGGAGAGCCTCGACGTGGTGCACCACCAGCAAACATCCCGCAGCCAGCCGAGGAGCCTGATGATCCTATGGAGATTGACAGCAGAGGGCACGGACACGGACAGACTGAAGAGATGATCCGTGAACAGGAGAGAAGGATCAGAGAGACCCAGCAGGGGCTATGGGGAAAGCGATGATTGAATCCTGCTTCCTGTCGGACGACAATCTATGGTATGGAGCATAACCTTTGCGCGACTTTGACTTTTTTGGTTCATTCGATGGGGGCTGGCTGGATCACCCCCTATACAAGCTTGTTGCTTGTGAGATTATGGCGTGTAGCGTGAACCAATATACGGTCTGGGCCACCAGTGTCCTTTTTCTCGGCGTGCGAATTTACCACGGTCTAGAGAGAAGACTATAGTTCCTTTTGCTATGCGTGAGGAAGAACACAGTATGACATTGGCCATCTGTGTTGTGGCTGACGACGATCTGAAGGCTCACCCCAGCGAACATCAGGGCTGAGTACTGGGGCCTGAAGACTTACCGTCGCCGCAGCTCCACTTGAATGCATATGAGCACTAATCAGCATTTTGCTAGCGATAGTCGGCGTTGCATTTACACGTTCATTGTGTTTTATATCACTACGAGGAATTTCATCCTTTGTTTTCTCACTCTATGGACGTCTGGCGGGAGATCAAGATGCACGTTGCAAGTATTGTTTTTTTGTAACTGAACTCTTGCAACAATGATTTCGACAAGCTGTGAATATCAGCATAACGAACTACTGGTCGGAATTGCAGTTGGATTCTGGCCTGGCATATATGCAAAATACACGGGAGAAGCTAGGTTGCTTGCTGCTAGCCCCACCAGTCACGACTTACGCGGCCGGCCAATACCGGTAAAGCCATTCGGGCGATGGCGCACCTCCCTCGACCACAACAAACTCCTCCAAGCTGTCGCAGCATCGATACTCGACATTTGCATACCTGATTTGTTTCAACCTCCTCGCAAGAAGTTGATGAGATACTTTGAGACTGACGCATCAACACAGCCTGGCTGGATCGCTCCGCTGCTCGCCTCCTGCAAGATCACGTTCAGCCCCCCCGTGACCATCTGGGTTGGTCACAATGAATCATCAACTGCCACTCCCGCTCTACAATACACTCTATGAATTCAATCAGCTCCATGCATACACTCCTAATCGGCCAGCAGCCTATCCAAATCAGCAGCAGCAGCAACCACCATACTCTCCGAATCGACAAGCATCCTATCCAAATCAGCAGCAGCAACAGCGGCAGTCGCCATACCCGCCGATCCAGCAAGCGCCATATCCTACAAGTAGACAGCCCCCTTACTCGCCAGGTCAACCGAGACCATATCCAACCAGCCAGCTTCCAACACCGTACCCGACTGCCGATACACCCTATTCGGACAGCGATTCCAGCGTCGAAGATCTCGGCCACTCTGATGACGACCTAGGGCGGCGACGATTGGAGCAAGTGGAACCATCAGACTCAGAAGAGTCACCAGAGCCAACAGAGCCAACACAGCCAGCAAATGTGGTAGAGCCAGCAGAGCCCGCACCAGCGCTCACATTCGATGAACGCAGCAGGCTGACAAAGAAACCTGCCTACAAGCCTCGCAAACGTAGCCATGGCGACCTGCACGACGTCCCACCCGAGGGCATCGATCTGTCGCGCGAGCATGAAGACTCTTTCCAGCCGCGCGACCTCCTGCCTCCACCCGAGCGCGTATACGACAGCTTTGATGAGGCCATTGCCGCGGTGACAACGTTTGGACAGGCTCACGGGGTTTCCTACAACAAGAACAAATGGTCGCGTAATATGCGACAGAGACTGATGATGGTCTGCAGTCGCAGTGGCGTACACAAGGACGTACACAAGGAAGGTACCAAGCGCAGAAACATGGGATCCAGCGCTTCGAAGAAATGCGATTGTCGTATGCAGTTCTGGATCCTAGCTATGGACTATACCAACCTTGAGGGTCAGTGGAGAGTCAAATGGGCAAACGACCGGAAAAGTATCGTCCACAATCATCCACCGCAGCGTCCCAAGGTCAGCAATAAACGAAAAGCACCAAATGAACCTGCGCCTCCTACACATCCACGTATACCGGTTTTCAAGATCGCTTAGAGGTAGCTGTGTACTTGTATACGAGGAGGGCATGTTGTTGAGTCGCGCACAGGCACTGCTGTCTAAGGTATTTGTCACCTTTGGATCAGGCGCTCCCGTTCCTTCCGGTTCGACAAAATCATGGCAGCAGCAGGACTCGCCAAGCCAGCTTTCCCTACACGATTAGGTAGAGTGCTGTCCAATATCCAAGCTCACCGAGTGCAAGCATTACACCGTGAACGTGCTCAACTCTCTTGCTTTCAGCGCTGTTCTACTTGGTTGAAACTCAAGTAGGTCTCTTCTTCGGCCCGAATCAATACTGGCCGGCCACGCAATCTCGGTGCGTGTCCCCAAAACACCAAGACTCACCCTCATACAGCACAGCCATCGTAGTGCCCCTGCAAAAGCCTCCGCGTCTGATCCTCGATGCTTAGCGTTGTGCTCCGCCTCACAAGCTACTGCTCACTTGAGGAACTCTTCCCGGCCAATCAAGCTTGTTGCTTAGACATATCCGGTGCTTTTGATAGGCCGCGCCTGATCCGCATAGTCGATTCTTGAGGACACTGCTATGGCGACTGATGGATTGACTGACTAGGGTACTATGATAGATCTCGACTGATATTATGCCAGCAATATGTGCGCAGCCACACAAGTCACACCGTATACCGTATCGCATCATGAAACCAGACGCGATCTACAAATGCAGCATGTTGACCCGTTATCATCATGCACTGAACTCTCGTAAGCAACGGTTTGACGATGGCTTGGCTACTTTGATACCTCATCCTCTCCGCGCGCTAGTTCATTGGCGGCACGGTCAAAGGGGCCTCGCAAACAAAGAATCAACATTTCGTTCTTGGCAATGACGGCCGGAGCAAGCGTCTTTACGATGGGATTCGGCCAAATGTACATCTAGATCATTGCATTTGAATGATTGCGCCGCAGTCGATGAATATATATACACTGTGGTTGTGCAGTCTTGGAATTGAAACAGAAACCTTACTCGAGCGAGGTTACTTACTTCCGGTCTCATTGCCACACCAGGTGTATTTCGAAGAAACTTTTCTTTATATCATCTGCATCTAGGTGTACAAAACATCAACACCGTCCACGATTTACAGCATGCGTTCACACATGCTCAAAGCGGCGCTCGCCGCGTCCTCTTTTGGTACATTCTCCCTCTTGGTGTATATGTCCAAACACGACTAACTTTCCCACAAGCTATTACAGCTCAAGCGCAGATCTCACAACAATGTGTGGCCTCCGACGTCTGCTTCGAGCTGAACATCCCCGCTACAACAGCTCAAACAGGCAGCGGCGATATATTCTTCTCAATCAGTGCGCCAACGACCTACTCTTGGGTTGCTCTCGGTCAAGGAAGCAACGGCATGACCAATGCCAACATCTTTATGATCTATCAAGATGGTCGCGGCAATGTCACTCTCTCGCCCCGGCATGCTGTTGGAACAACAATGCCTCTATTTGACCCTGAGATTGATGTCGAATTATTGGGCGGAAGTGGTGTGTCCAACGGCACCATGATGGCCAACATCAAATGTGGAAACTGCGAGAGCTGGCAAGGTGGTAATATGGACTTCACAGCCACCAGTGGAGGCTTTATCCACGCCCGACTCAGCGGTCCATCGCTCGACTCTACCGATGTTGAACAAGCCGTCAATTTCCACAGCAGCTACGGAGTATTCTCATGGCCTTTTTCATCGGCTGTCGGTGGTGCAAGCGTGAACCCCTTCGAGGACGCCACTCTCACAGCCAACACCACAACCTCTGCTGCCGGCGGTGGTGGCTCCGGCATCAACGATGCCGCCGTGCTCTGGTGTCATGGCATCTTCGCCTCCGTCGCCTTCGTCTTCCTCTTCCCCCTCGGCGGAATTCTCATCCGCGTGGGCAACTTCCCAGGCCTCATCTGGGTCCATGCTGGCCTCCAAATGTTTGCTTGGGTCCTTTTCATGACAGCCTTTGGCTTAGGACTGTACTACGGCATCATGGACAATTACATGCACGAGGCCCATCCAATCATCGGCATCGTCCTCGTCGCTATGATGCTCGTCCAACCTCTCTTCGGCTGGCTGCACCATCTCCGCTTCGTACGCACCGGCGGCCGCACCGTCTTCTCGCACAGCCACATCTGGATCGGTCGAATAGCCATCATCCTTGGCATGATCAACGGCGGCCTTGGCATGAAACTATCCGGCGTCACCAACAGCTACTACATTGTCTATTCTGTCTTTGCAGGCGTGCTCGGCCTGTCGTACATCGCCTCCATCATCTACGGTGAGACGACGAGGAAGAGGAAGCTTCAGAATGGCTCTCTCGGCGACAGGGAGAAGCTCGGGAATACAGAACAACAGGCTGCTTTCCATCGGCCAAGTGACGCGCAAGCAGGCACGAATACCAGGTTGTGAGGCGGGAGAAATGCGGTGCTTTTTTGTGGTTGGCACCTTACGGCGTGTCTGTTTTGTGATGATCTTGGGCGTTCTTTGTGGCTTTTTTGGGGGGTTAACCTAGCGGGTAATGGGGTACCAAAACAGCGTGGAGTAGGACCGGATTGTTGGGTTACTTTTTTATCGTGTTTGTGTCCATGGCTTTTCTTCGGTGTGACATATCAGTCATCGGGGGAATAGGATGTCCTGTTATGTGGAAACGAAGCAATTTACCGTATTCATCATCCATGAAATCATGCATCCATTCACCCATGCGTGCATCCATTCACGAATCCAATCCAATCCCCATGCAACCAATTCAAATCCCCCAACTGCCGGAAGTCCAACCCCGCGGAACCACTGCCACCCCTCCCGCGATCCTCGGCCTTTCTCCTTGCATTGCCAAACGCTAGAAATGTTGACTTTCTGGATCGTCCCTCACTCGCTCACCTGGACTTGGTTTGCATCTCACATGTTGCGTTGATCTTGGCGCTCATGTCAGTCTCCTGCGCGGGCTCGAACTGCCGTACACTCTACCGGTAGACTAGTCTTTAGAGTCTAGAGTGTCATCTTCATCTTACTTGGGATCTTATTGCTGGGCTGGACTTGGGAGGTTTGCATGACATGGCGAATGGGTGCTGGCAGTGTTGGTGACTTGTAGAGTATACATTGGATTACTTCCCATTTCTCCAGCCCATTCCCCGGCTGGGCTGGCTGGTTGTAGTTGTATACAGCCACATGTAAAGGCACAATCGACAGAGGAAGCAGGTCAACTGGCCATAGGAAAATTGCAATCGACAAGTGGAAGGCGCGGTGACGTTGTGTTTGCCTGTGGTCGCCCGTGCGAGCGCAACCGGAACGCGCTAAAGACGCGTCTCGTCGCGTGGGGCAGTCTGCGACGCAGCCACACGTCAACTCCAACTCATCGCAAAATTGTACATGTAAGAAAGCGTGAGAATGTCTTCAGTTACAGGAAAGTGAGTATTGTGAGTGCAAACAGTTGTTTGGTATGCTGATGCAATTATAGAAAAGTTGCGAGAACCTACTCGCGGCAGAAGAAGCGGCCGTTGGACGACGAAGATGCACCTACGAAGCGCAGACGCGTCGAAATCACAGGAGAGAACAGAGCGGCTGTTACTCCAACACAAACAGAAGGCTCGATTCCTCTTGGAAACTCATCTCCTCGTTGCGGTACTTCGGCACCTCCCACCTCAAGTCCCAGAGACTTGCCTGCTATCTTTTCGGATGAGCCACCTCGGTCTAGTCCACCCTCGTCGCCAACACCACGCAGCTCCCCACCAGCTCTGCACAAGCGCCGACCTGTGTTCGGATTCCTGAAGAAGCATGTAAAGTCCAAAACACCCGCCAAGGAACCTCTCACAGAGCGAAGCCACAATGCACAAAGCGCACAGAAGCAGCCGCCTGCGAAGATGAAGCGCATGGTACAAATGCAGCTTGACTTGGCGATCCAGCATCGCAAGGCATGCAAGACGTGCGGTATGGAGTATATACCATCAAACGCCGAGGATGCAGCACTACACCGGAAGTTCCACGCCATGAACGTTGGAGGGGTAGACTTCACCAAACCCGTCATCGAGCGTTTTCGAAAGACCGAGGTTTGGAGTGGTGGTGATGGGAGTTTCATCTCCGTCATAGGACGCAAAGATGCCCTTGCGCTGCGTAATAGAGCCAGCGACGTGCTGAAGGTAGTCAACACGGAGCTCGCAGCTGTTTCGATACCTGACGAGGAACTGTGGGGCCAGGCTGGCCGTACAGTCTTTGCGGACGCGCCACTGGAAGAGCTAAAAGCAGCAAAGACGGCCGTGCTGGCGGCGGAAGATTATTACGCTCCGCTTGTCGACCGATTCAAAGTCTATCTCTACTTCCGAGGCCACAAGTGCGTGGGTGCGTGCTTAGCGGAGCGAATCTGGGAAGCCTACACGGTTTTGGGTCAAGATGACGTGCCCGAGAAGACGTGCGAGCTTCCTCGGCCGCCTCAAAGCTCGTCGATTTCCATCAGTACTGTGTCGGAGCCGGCTCTGTTGGGCATCTCACGGATATGGACGTCTACTCATTGTCGGAAGCAAGGTGTAGCGTCTAGGTTGCTGGAGACGGCGCGATGTGATTTCCTGTATGGATTAAAGGTTGAGAAGGAGCTGGTTGCGTTCAGCCAGCCCACGGAGAGTGGAGGCAATCTTGCGCGGAACTGGTTTGGTAGACAGGCGGGGTGGCATGTGTACATTGACTGAGCCGGCGAAGTGAGGCAGTCGTGGCGGGAGAGATTAGCGTATGCGGGTGTACGTAGCATGTGAAGCGAGTGCACATGGCTGGCGAGTGTGCTGTACTTGGGTATGGTGGGCACGGTACCGGTAGGGTAAGCATCGTCAGTACTGAGTACCATGGAATCCTGGGCCACTCGTCCGAGCCGAGTACGATGCGAAGATCCGGCAGACAGATCTAGATAGTCGGGGAGTTTGGTATTCATGAGCCTGGCCTTGGGCCTGACAAAAGATGCAACCTTGGAAGATGGCGTGCGAGGCGTGGGCCATGGGTTACTTACTCTCTTCCTCTTCCTCTACATGTCTGGGGCTTCTCCCAGAGTACTACTCTAGCTCTACTATAGTTCTAGTGCACGTCTTCGCTGGCTCGCCGCCAGATCTGCGCGCGCGTGCATGTCGGCGGCCCTTGTTCACTAAAGCCCGACGCTCGCTCAGCCAACAGTGAAGACGACGACTCTGAGCGGTTGCACTATGCTCACCGCTCCTTGCAAGCGATCCCCGCTTCCACGTAGGATGCATTGCTCTTGATCTTCAGCATGTCATCTGGGAACCCGTTCCGCGCATCGCAGCTCTACACGCGCGACGGCCCGTCGCCATCCTTGGCCTACACTGATAGCGGCGTGTCTGAGGCGCAGAGGGGAAACAGTGACTATGGTATTGCCTCGCCTTTTTTGTCTTTCGAACAACCTGGGATTGAAAGAGTAATCCTCTGACAGTGCTCGGAGACTCCGTCTCGCCCCCGCCGCCAAAGTTTAAGACAAAGAAGCAAGTCCGCATAGTCTCTCCGACCGTCTCGATCCCCCCGCATCCGGAAGCAGGAGATGATGACCATGCTGCCGATGATGTAGACGGGGCCTTTCAACAGGACGTCTATGTAGACCGATCATATCAAGACTCGTATCAAGATTCATACACAGGCTCGCTGCCCTCGATAGCTGCCATTGGCTCCTCCACCAACGCTTCCTCGCCGCAGGGTGACTTGAAATCCCAGAGTACGTGGGAGGGCAACAATATGGCTGCGATAAGCATATCGCCTGCGCCAGCAGCCCATGTGGGAAGACGGCAGAGCACACTATCACCGACTGGTGTTCCTGCAAATCCCTTCTCACGAACGCTGGCGTCGTTGGAGCCACAAACACAAGAGACGGCAAGCGCGGACGACGGGCGGACGGGTACGGAAAAGCAGACAACAAGCAACAAGAGGGCGACATTAGATGTAGAGAGCTTCAAAAACCTCCTCTTGACGGGCAAACCGACTCCGCGCCCATCCGCCCAGTCCCCGCAAACAAGCGTCGCACCCAACACACTCAGTGCTCCGCAGTTGGAGAGCGGGAGTAGCACGGACACCTCGTCGATATCTCGCCAATCGCTGTACGAGTCGGCACAGGAGACACACCAGGAAACTCCGCGGACGTCGTATGAGATGCCAGAGTCGGAAGAGGACGAGAGCATGGGTCTGGTGTCGGAGGTGAAGAAGGGCAAGAAGAAACCACCACCTGCGCCCAAGCATCGACATGGCAAACTCGTGACGCCGAGACAGCCGCAAGTAGTCTCGTTCGATAGCTTCATGGCTACAGAGCCAGCGCCTGTCCCGACGCCACGATCGAGGAACAATTCAGACGTGAACAAGCCGCTGCCGCCAACCCCAATGGTCCCGTTGCAGCAACAGCATATCAGTGCCCAAGACAGCACGCCACCAGTACAACCAAGATCGAGTGATGCAGCACCACCGACATCACCAAACGCAGAAATCGTCACAGTACAGAAACGGGTACCACCCCCTGTTCCCCTCTCCCGACGACAAAGTCAACTCCGCAATTCCACAGCAGCCATACGCTCACGAAGCAACTCCTCCCTCACGATATCCTCCCAACACTCCACCGACCCAGTCTCCAGCCCACCCCCTCACACCCAAGATCCAACCTCTTCTGCAAAATCCCCTCCC